CAATCTCGCCTCTTTTAAATATGTCTGCCTCTTTTCCTTTTTTTCTCCCATTGCTTCATTCTGGTTCCTAGATTTTATTCCGTACAATTTACTATAATATTTTTTAAATACATCAGCGATATCAGTGGTTGAATGCACCAGTTCCCCCATATCATCCTTGATTTTTTCTATAAAATTTCTTGATTTCGTTTCCCTTAGCCTTCTCATTAAGTATTTTCCTGGTCTATTCCCCCACTGATATCTTTCTCTAGCCACCTAGATTTTCCTCGACTCTTGTTCCATTAACTCCTTAAGTACTTCTCTTTTTTGAATTGTCTTCTGTTGTATCTCCATATCTATCTTCTTTTTATGTAGTTGTTCTAAATCATATAATTCTTCCATTAATAGCTTTATTCTCCTCTCCCATTCTATTTTTTTCAGAACCTATTGAGATCAGGATTCCTCTAATGTATGCATTATGTGCTTCCCAAACTGTGGAGACAGATACCCCTTTGCTTTCATTAATTAAAAAATATTGTTCAATTTCCTTCCTTAATCTTATTTCAGTCATTGGGTCCTGAAAGAGCGTCTCATTCAATCTCCACATGTTTATCTTATTCCTCTCCCCTCCCCACTTTAATCTCATTGTGACAGGTGAATGATCCGATAGTGACCTCACTTCTATATTGGATTTCACCAATGACTAAATAAGTCTATGTTCAATCATTATATAATCAAATTGTGAAAAAAAACTCCATGTGCAGAAGAGAAGGTATAATTCCTCTCTCTAGGATGTATAACGCTCCAGGCGTAACATCTTTTTAACAGACTTTAGGTTTCTTCTTCCCTCTCTCTGAACCTGTATCAACCCACCTCCCTGCAACCCCCTCCCCCTTCTCCCTCCCCCCCCCCTTCCCTCTTTCCAATACCCCTTGGCTTAGTTCCAGCCCTGGAATCGGTTGTGGTTTAAACCCACTGTTGATTCGTCTTCCAGGGTAAGACTCAGGACATGTACACCTATTCGGCTCCCCACCTCTCATCTTAGTGTCCGCAATTTGAGAACGTGCTAAACCTCCCGCATAAAAACCTGCCACCATTCTTATACAATTCCTGTATAGGGGAAAGGAGAGCTATATAGGGAAGGCTGCAGGGGTTCCAATAAGTAAGAGGGGAGAAACCTCTTCCCCCCAGCTGCTCCCCCTATGTAGACTCCCCTATTCTAAATTCCCTTAACATCTCTTTTTTTAAACTACCTGGCATCTTTCCTTTTCTAAAACTGCCCTCTCCTTAACCCCTTCCGACCAACCCAGAATATCCAGCATCTGTAAACCTAGTCTGTCACAAAAGTCCCTTAAATCTTCTGGGAATCTCAGTCTTGCTGAATGTCCATCTTTCCACCCGATCAAACAGGCTGGAAACCCCCAGTTATGTTTGACATTTTTTCCCACATTTGGTCCAGCAATGGCTTTGAAGATCTTCTCCTAGCCAGTATCTCTGGGGCAATATCAGAAAACAATTTGTAGATTTGTTTCCTCCCATTTTGCCTGATTTCCCCGTAGTTTCTTCCATATGTTTATTTTATCCTCGCAAGAGTTGAACCATACAATAACATCTCTGGTGCAATCCTCTGAAACTCCTTGGGGCCGCCTAATTCTGTGTACTCTGTCCATTTTCAATTGATCTGTCACTGGTCTACCCATTATTGGGTTAAACACCTTCCTCATTCTATCCCATAGATCTTCTCCTTGCGCTACTTCTGGCAGGCTCCGAATCTTCAAGTTATTCCTTCTGTCTCTGTTCTCTTGATCTTCCAATTTATATGCCAGTTTCCTTTGGTTTCACTGAATTTCTTCCAATTGCTTTTCCAATTTTATAATTATTTGGGCATGTTTATCCAGTTTACCCTCCCTTTCTTCCACTCCACCTAGGATTTTTCCCATGTCATTATGTAATATCACCATTTCATTCTTTATAGAATGCTCTAATTTCGCAAACATTTCTGCGATATCTGTTTTGTAGGCATTTGTGAGCTTGCACATTGTTCTTCCATATTTTCTGTTTCCATTTTTCTTTCCGTACTTATGGGATTTTTTTTGTCAGAATCATATTCAATACACCTGATGACAGTCTAGTTTGATCTCCATTGTTGTTTCCTAATTCATGTCTTCTGCTAACTCCCTACTGTCTCTCAGGTGTTAGATCCTCTGGACTTTTCTCCTATGGGGGCATATACTTTCTTATAGGACTGGTGTTTAAATTTGTTTGGGGTTTTTTTGTCCCCCCCCTTTAGAGATCTATTCTTCATTTTTTAATTTTTTAAAATATATATGCTGGTAGGAGACAAACTCTCTTCAACTCTGGACCCATGGGTGACCCCTCTTGTTCTTTACTTGATCTATACCCCTTTAACTGTCCACTTTCAAAAAATAACCCTCTTTTTTGACCATCAAGGGGGGGTATATTACAACCTCTCCCCTTCCACAGCCCATTTAGACAAGTTTGCAAATTAAGCCATGGTTACTCTCCCTCACCGCCAGAGTCCATAGACAAGAAACACCTGGCCCTTCTCAGCCTTTCCTTACCGTTTGTCTCTGTGGCCTGGGCACCTTTAACTTATGTGATGTTATATGGTCATCATAGTTCTTCAGGGGGCACCAATAGCCGAGGGGGGGTTACCTACCGTGGGTATCCACACTGTGTTCCTCTGTTCTCTGTCCTTTCCAGCCCACCGTCCACAACAACGGTGTCTTCAAGCCTCCCAGTGTTCCCCGCTCAATCACGTTGGGTTAGGAGCTCTGCCATGCTCAGGCCCCTCCCAGCGCAAGCAGGCTTCTACTCAGCAAATTGTTTTTTATTTCTTTTTCTCCTCTCAGTAAAATGGTGAGACCAACATCCAGAATTTGGAAACAATTCCACAGTGCAATTTCTGTTAAGATCAATTTTCAAATATTGGGAGAATGAATATTATTTTCCAAATGCTACAAAGGACACATCCTTGCATGCTAGAGGTGCTCTAAAGACATTAAAAAATACCTTATGGAGTTAATGATAGTGCACTATAATGAAAATGCATGTAACTTTTCTCTCCTCATTCCAGAAACTTTTTCTGCTATTTCTGGATCATCCCACATTTTAAAATGCAAGTTTAATTTATTTACTGAATAAGCTGTACTTTTATTCCAAGCATAATACTTTTATATACACTGCATTTCACGGTCCGAGGGTAATTAAATGAATTTCAATTTGTAAAAAACTACTCGATACTGAGTTTTTTGTAAATTTTTCCAAAAATGTCAATTTTTTCCAGAAAAAAAACAGGGAAAACGTTTTTTCCCCCATGGCTTCAAAATTTCCGGAAATTTCTTGGCTGAAACACAAGAACACTAACAGAACTATAGTGTGTTGGTGTGCATTGCACAAAAATGCAGCATGTCTGCACCATATCAAGTATAGAGTTAAATAAAGTGTTTTTTTAAACTTTAAATAAAGTTAGAAATAGAACATAAAAGTAAACCTCGAAATGTGTTGTAACAAAGACATATATACTGCATCAAACTTAAACTTACCAAGGCCACACAGCATGGTTAGGACTGTTAGTTGTCATTTATCAACTTAGTATTGGAATACCTTGAGAAATGCCCACTTTCCCTATCCTCTTCCTTTCATTGATGTCTCAATACAGGTAAGATAATATGATTGGATCTTTAAAGAAAAAGCAGAGAAAGAGTAAACTAGTAAACTAGTGATCCTGCCAGGGATTAGAGCCTCTTTGGAGGATACATTGAAATGTCCACCTGCATAAATGTGTCACTCCCTCACCAGCTGCATGAGAAGGCCATTGACTCTTCAGTACCAAATTTAGTGAGGGAGCCACAAACAGAAAGCAGGTGACTGTTCTTTCTTCATTTTCTAGCTGGCTCTGCCAAATTCTTGCCTGCAACGGGACCACAAGTGCAAACATTAGTTTTAAACAGTATAGACTGTAGCTCCAAACTATTCAGGATTTCCAGAAACATTCCCAGGTTTTGATCTTTTGTTCATGGAAATGTGTATTCTTAGTTTTCAGCCACATAGCGCAAAAAAAGTTTAAATGCTTTGTTTTAAAAAATAATAATCTTTGGGGTGAAGCCAGGAGTGGCATGGCATAGGGTGCACAGATCAGGAGCTCCACTGGAGACATATCTTGTATTATCCTGGAGATGTTTATTTTTGTTTTTTACACAATGTGCTCTTGCTGAAGCCCTTCTTCCGCTGCCCAGTTACGTCACCACTGATAAAAATTGATCAACGCCAGTTGGAAGCTGGACAGATTTCAGCACAAGGAGAAGGAATCAGTGGGTGAAGATGGCACCACTTCTGCAGATGCTGACTAAGCTGGTGGGGACACTGTAAAGGTCCTAGAGGCAATCTCCACCTGTCAGGGCACATTTACCATCCAAACTTGAGGAGGTAAAGATCGACACATCAATCACCCGTAAGAATTTCCAAAAGCTGCGGGAGCGGGCCACGGAGCAGAATGCCAGATCAGCCACATTGAAGACAACCTGCCACCATTGAAGAGTCCCAGAGTGAACAGTCACAACAACAGCTGAACTCTCTCCTACAAAAGCAAGATGATATGGAGAACAGGCTCCAGCACTTCAACCTTTGATTCATGGGCCTGCCCGAGGGTGTGCAGGATTAAGATCCAGCCTCTTTCCTGGAAAATCTACTCACCACCACATTTGGCAGAGTGGCCTTCTTTACCACATTTGTGCTGGAGCTGGCCCACCACCTGGCTGCTAGACACCCACCCAACGGGACATTCCTGCGCACATTGAATGCCTTTTTCCTTAATGCACGCTGTGGTTCCATCTGCTAAGTGCTAAGGGCTGGACTCCGGGCAGCGGCCCATCGGGCTGGACTCCGGGCAGCGGCCCATCGGGCTGGACTCCGGGCAGCGGCCCATCGGGCTGGACCCCCAGGTGGAGCAACAGGTCTCAGGCCCCCAGGCAGAGCGGCGGGCGCCGGACCCCCAGGCAGAGCGACAGGTCTCGGGCCCCCTGGCGGAGCGGCGGGCGCCGGACCCCCAGGCAGAGCGACAGGCACCGGGTCACCAGGCACGACAGTGGGCTCCGAGTCAACTGGCATGACCGCTGGCACTGGGTCAGACAATGGATCGTCTGGCTGGACAGCGGGCATCGGGTCACCAGGCATCAGGTCACTTGGCTCGACAGCGGGCACCGCGTCATCTGGCAAGGCAGTGCGCTCCGAGTCAACTGGCATGACCGCGGGCACTGGGTCAGACATTGGATCGTCTGGCTGGACAGCGGGCATCGGGTCACCAGGCATCAGGTCATTTGGCTCGACAGCGGGCACCGCGTCATCTGGCAAGGCAGTGGGCTCCGAGTCAACTGGTATGACCGCGGGCACTGGGTCAGACATTGGATCGTCTGGCTGGACAGCGGGCATCGGGTCACCAGGCATCATGTCATTTGGCTCAACAGCGGGCACCGCGTCATCTGGCAAGACAGTGGGCACCAAGTCCCCAGGCACGACAGTGGGCTCTGACTCAATTGGCACGACAGCGGGCACCGGGTCATCAGGTACCGGATTGTCTGGCTCGACAGCGGGCATCGGGTCACCAGGTATGACAGCGGGCACTGGGTCACCAGGCATCAGGTCATTTGGCTTGCGAGCGGGCACCGCGTCATCTGGCAAGGCAGTGGGCACCGGTCACCAGGCATTGGATCGTCTGGCTTGACAGCGGGCATCGGGTCACCAGGTATGACAGCGGGCACTGGGTCACCAGGCATCAGGTCATTTGGCTCGCCAGCGGGCACCGCGTCATCTGGCAAGGCAGTGGGTACCGAGTCACCAGGTACGACAGCGGGCTCTGAGTCAATTGGCACGACAGCGGGCACCGGATCAGGTACCGGATCATCTGGATCAACAGCGGGCATCGAGTCAACTGGCCTAATAGGATCATCAGGCTGGATCAGTTCATCATGCTGGGTAGAGGCATCAGGCTGAGTGGAGGCGTCAGGCCGAGTGGAGGCGTCAGGCCGAGTGGAGGCGTCAGGCCGAGTGGAGGCGTCAGGCCGAGTGGAGGCGTCAGGCCGAGTGGAGGCGTCAGGCCGAGTGGAGGCGTCAGGCCGAGTGGAGGCGTCAGGCCGAGTGGAGGCATCAGGCCGGGTACAGGCATCAGGCCGGGTACAGGCATCAGGTTGAAGTGCGGGTGCCGAGGCACCAGGCTGAACCACGAAAGGCAGGTTCTCAGACGGCAGGCTCACCGGTTTGGATACTGGCAGGATGGTATTGGTTGGAAAGAATTTCCGCTTTTTTTCTGGTTTTAACTACTGGAGCACTGCAAGTAAACGCAGGTCTGCAAACGAATGGAGCAGCTGGAGACAGAGAAGAGCTGGAGGATGGAACAGAGGAGGGAGCAGTTGCTACAGAGGGCTTTTTTGCAGGGTTAAAGGCAGGATAGGTGCAGCGAGTGGGAACAGGGTACTGACATGCGGTAGATAGCAGGGCAGGAGGAGCTGTTGGGAATGCAGGAATAGAGCTTTGAGGAAATAGATTAGAAGCAGGACTGGGTTTTTGTAGGCTGACTGAGGCTGGGTGCAACAAATCTGTCCATGTCTGCAGTATGGGTTGAACAAAGCTGAGCTTACACAAAGCCTGTCTGACCAAAGACTGCACTGCGTTTATACAATCTCTTAGTACCTGTGGTGAACATGCAGCATAATGCTCCAAGAAGCAATCCACATCATCCTCTAATAACCATACCAGGGACTCTACCTGGTCGGCACTAAATGGCGGCAAAAATTCATCCCTGCATTCGGGGGTACCAGATGAAACCAACTCCGCACAAATCTGAATCAATGGCTGCACCTCAGAGAATTCTGTGCCCTGATCTACTAGAACATGAGCGAGCCGTATACATTCTAGCAGTTCATCCCGGGGATACTCCTTCAGAGTTTGATAAGCATACTCTCTGTCATCAAACACTAGCAGATATAAATACACAACCTCATCAAGATCCATCCTTGCCATCAACAAACCAAGATGGCTTCCCTGTGCAGCCACTTCTGGTCAGGATTGGCCTTGGTGTAATGTCAGGGCTCCCGGGTATGACCAGAGGTGTGTGTGACTGACGCAGGGAAACGCAGACTTCAGATATGTTATAAACAATATAATTTATTAACACTAACAATACAAACATAAACGCAGTGCAATACTAAAACATACACAGTGCAAACAAACCAAAACCAACCACCCACAGATGACAGTACATACAATGCAAGTGTCGTCAGGCAGCCGGGTCAATATCAATAGGGCAGGTAGGTACAGGGGGAGCAAACGGGGTCACAACCAAGCAGGTAGCTAGCAGCGTAGTACAGAGGGTCAGGCAGAGGACAGGGTACAAGCAGGGATCAATAGCAAGCAGTCGTCAGGCAGGCCGGGGGATCAATATCAGCATCGGGCAGGTAGGTACAGGGGGACAGCAGGGCCCAGCGGAGAATCTGCAAGTCGGGTCACAAGCACCAGGTTCAGCAGGTAGCTGGCAGCAGGCCCGGTACAGGGCAGGTAGTACAGGGGGAGAAGGGAGAATGGGGGGTGGTCAGACAAGCCAGGTTCAGCAGGTAGCGGGCAGCGTGTACAGAGGGTCAGGCAGAGGAGAATGGTCAGACAAGCCAGGGATCAGGAGCAGGAGAATGGTCAGACAAAGCCAGGGATCAGAGCAGGGTCAGCAACGAATCAGACAGGAACAGGAACAGGGAGCAGGAACAGGATACAGGGCCCAGGAGAAAACACACACACCAAGGCAGAGTCTGCAGGTCTGGCCATCCCTTAAATACACCAGTATAAAGCAGTTTCAGGTGTTTAGCTGGCTGCAAGGTTGAGTCTCTGATTGCTGGGAGCACCCGCTGGCCAGCCCTGGTACTGCAGCCCATAAGGCAGGCGAGTCCCACCATTGCTGGCCAGTCCATTCCTGACAGCAGCACACATGTACTGAAAGTTGGCTCCTACTTTATTTTCTGGCTTGGACATCTCCTAAGCCAACATCAGAGGCATCAGTTTGCACAAGGAATTCTTAACTGACGTTTTAGGGGAGTCTCTCTCTCTCTCTGCGCTATTGTATTTTGACAGGAGGACCCCCCTAAGAATACGCTAATTAGCACTTGCATTGGCTGCAAGTGCTGATCGAAATGCTGGTTTTTCCAGCAAAATCTTCGACAGAAGCCATTCCTTGGACTAGCTTCTGTTGAACAGACAGCAGCACACATGTTCTGAAAGTTGGCTCCTACTTTATTTTCTGGCTTGGACATCTCCTAAGCCAACACCAGAGGCATCAGTTTGCACAAGGAATTCCTAACTGACGTTTTAGTGGAGTTATAGCATTGGTCCTTCACACAATACTACTTCTAGCTCTTGAAAAGATCTCTCTAGCTAATCCATTTCTCCATGGTGGACTTGACCCCTTTGGTGTGATCCATAAGTGGATCCAATACAGTATCAACATTAGGCTCAAACTTTCAGTAGTATTCTACAATGCCTAGAAAGGCTCTAACTGGTTTCTTTGATATGGGCTGATCCCAGCTTTTAATTGCTTCAATTTTGTCCATTAAAGACCTTGCTTGTCCAACTCTAACTCACCCCCACAAAATACCAGGCTTTTTCCTTGTCTATTGATCATTTTTTTGTATTGGCTGTTTACCTGTTTTTCAAATGGAATTTAAAAATGCCTGGACCTTCTGTAATTTAGAATCTCAGTCAAGATTAAAAATAGTAACATCATCTAGGTATCCCGAAGCATAGGGGCCCCATTTAAGCCAAATGAGAGGGCCATGTACTGGTACAGCCCACGTGGTACCTTTCCTTTGCCCTGTCTTTTAAGGGAACCTGCCAGTTCCCTTTAGTAAGATTCAGGGTGGTAATGTACCTAGCCTGTAGATTTGAATGTATATGAATCTCTGAATTGGCATAGTATCGAATGTCAGCGAATCTGATAAAAACAAATGCATTCATTAATTTCATTATAAGTTTTTCATTTGGATGACATCACATGATGCGATAGTAGTTCAGGCCCATAGGGAAATTAATAAAATTTTCAAATTTGTTTGGTAATTTGGACTAGAATAATGAATGGATCAGAATTTCATTCCATTCGTTAATTCAGATGCACATGACACCAGTCGATATTGTCCAATCAGCTCATGCCATTTCTCAATTCAAATCTGTCTGATTCAATAATATATCAAATGTATATCAATCGTCCGGAAAAAACTGCAACATTTTTCAAATCCAGCCGGACCAACGAATATATGAAATGAATGCCAAAGATACAAAATTAATTCCGAAAACAGATTGGTTCAACATAACAAATTTGACAAAACAAAATTCTTCTATGAATGAATGCATCCAAAATGAAACGAAACAAAAATTTCAAGCATGCACGTCTACTTTTTCCAGAAAGCCTTTCTATTAATTTATCCATCTGGGGCATGGGATAAGCATCAAATGTGGATGTCATTCAGCTTAGGAATGAGCTCTATGGGACTTTACTACTTGCTTTTACATTCCACTAAAACCTTAAGGGCTAACATTCTGTGTGCCTCTGTTGAAATGGCTTTTCTCTGAGCTTCAGGTAGCTGATAGCATCTTTACTTTGATTTGAGGCTCAGTCACAATGCCATGCTAAATTATGTTCATTTGGACTGCTAATTCTAAAAGCACTCTCTATAGACAGAGTCTATGTCATCCTAACCCCTGGTATAACATTTGCTGGTAATATTTTTGGAGTCTCCTGAAAATGTTGCATGTTACAAAACACGTGGGGCAGGACTTCCGCGACATCACTTTCAGTGGAACGCATGCTGTATGAGCCAGCTGCGTCTCCTGCTTATGTATTGTTGCATACACATCCATTTGCCAAGTAGTAAATGCAATTTTAATGCTTTTTGTCATTGTTGAATGGTTTAACACTATGGGAGATCTCTCCTTTCTTCTTTTTTGTAACACCATTATATAAGGTTATGTGTGGAACCATTGGAGGCTTTAGTGGGATTGGCTCGAGTACTTATATTTTCATTCCTGGTCATGTGAGCAAAAATTGACATGTGACTAAAAACATGCACCAAAAACACACTACAGCTCATTTTTTATTTACATGCAAAACCCATGTAAATCCCATTTGCATTGTAACACAATGGAGTTGATTTACTAAAACTGGAGAGTGCAAAATCTGGTGTAGCTGTGCATGGTAGCCAATCAGCTTCTACCTTCAGCTTGTTCAATTAAAGTGATTATAAAGGTTCATTTTTTTTAACAAACATGTCATACTTACCTGCTGTGTGCAATGGTTTTGCACAGAGCAGCCAGAATCCTCCTCTTCTCGTGTCCCCCGCAGGCTATCCAGGCTCCTCTTTTCTGTCGGCTTGCTATGGGGGCGCCTGCTGCACTGTGCGTCCATTCACACTCGGAGCCGCGGCTTGGCCCTGCCCCCTCTCTGTGTGTAGCAGCCCCTAACACTTACCTGAGCCCAATCCCGATTCAGTGATGTCCACGGAAGCCTTGGTTCTCCAGGGACTCTCACTCCTGATTGGCTGAGGCAGCAGCAGGAGCCAATGGTTCCTGCTGCTGTCAATCACAGCCAGTGAGCCAATCAGGAGAGGGAGGGGGCCGGGTTGCGCTGTGGCTCTTTGTATCAATGGACATGCAGAGCCGGTGCCCCCATAGCAAGTTGCCTGCTGTGGGGGCACCTGACAGGTGGGAGGAGCAAGGAGTGCCAGCGAGAGACCTGAGAAGAGGAGGATTGCGGCTCCTCTCTGCAAAACCACTATACAGAGCAGGTAAGTATGACATATTTGTTATTTAAAAAATCTAGACTTTATTATCACTTTAAGGCTTGGTTTGGCAGTTTGTTTTTGATCCATTTCTGCAGTGCTTTTTTGAAGCGTTTTTCATGCTTTTTTTGGGCCAATTTGTTGTTGGGCAGATTAAAAAAAAGCAATACATGCTTTTCTGCAACATCTCCTTTGGAATCTATTGAACCAAAAATGCACCATTTTTCGTTTAAAAAAGTCTCTGACCCTTTCCAAAAACGCAGCAGCTGAAAAAAAACATAGATGTGAACATGTCCCACAGGAAACCATGTTAAATTGACTGTAGTGCATTTCTGCAAAAAGCATCCCAAAGGGCCGGTCCACACCAGAATCACAGTGGAATGCACGGGTTTTGCACAGATC